GAAAATAAGTTTCATTTTATAAAATGTTTTTTTTTTTTTTCATCTTTGAAGATAACATATCGCTTATTATTTGTTAAATGATAATATTTTATTCTTTAAGCACATTAAATGATATGACCATTAATTACTTTACTAGTACGAGATTTTAAAATAAATTTTCACGTTTCCATCTGATAACTTTTCATGCTTATTCAATAAACAGATCATTAAGCATGTTTCTATTACTTTTCTGTCAATTCTCATTTTTTAGAGCTGATACTTTTTCAAGAATTTCAACTATCAAGTTTACATCAGTTATTATAAATATCAAATCAAACAACAATATGAACAAGCAATAAACTGGGAAATAATATGTTCCATTTATTTTGACAAATACAATATATATAGATATATACATAATATTGAATTTACGTACAGAAAACTACATTTATATAGAAATAAGGAATTAGATATATAGCAATATAAGATAAGAGACACAGAAAAAAATACTTGATATACATAGAGAAATTTAGCCAAGTTAATGGAAATAATTTTACATATTGAGAACAAAATAAAGAAATAAAGATTAGACACAGATATATGAAATTGAAAATAAATATAATTGTTAAGTAATTATTTTTAAATATAGATACTCTAAGAATAGAAATGAATCAACTAAACAATAATATATTGATTCTACTACAAAATTTGAATTATGAAAAAAATACTTTCATAGAAAACTTTAAAAGAATTTCAATTTACACATAACTCGTTTCATTTCAATATAATTTGAAAGTATATTTTTCTATAGGATTTATTTTTGATAATAGATTTATGAAGTTAATATTGAATGTTAACAATTCTATATCAAGTCTTGTTTGTTCTTCTTTGTTACAAGTCATTTAAGTTAATTATTATACAATAATAATAATATGATCATTAATATGACAAATTTCAGTGAGCCATGGTAAAGATTCGATTGTTACAATGATAATGAAATATATTTTTTATTGAATGAAAAAGTTGATTTCGATAGATTCGAGCTGAAATTATATAAAGAAAAAATGGCGTAGCAAATGACAAATAGAATGGTAATTTGAAAATGATGAAAAGAAAAGAGAATATGGATGTATATCGAACTTTGATTGGTAGAATTGACATGAGAAAAAGTGAACAAAAAGGTAATGTGAGAATAAGATGAATAATTATTTGTATAAGAAGCATTTTAATCAATTGCTTCTCAATACGACGACCTGTAACAACGACTTGACTTATTTGCAAATGATTTATATTGTAGATAGTTAAACAACCAAAAACTATCATGAGGAAAGGTGCAATTATAGCAAAAATAATCACTTGTGCAATGATAAAACTTTGTTTAAATATTGTGTTCGTATTCGGTGCACATCGAAGTTTATCCAATTGTTGTAGATCAAAAGTTAATAGAATACCAATTTGAAATATTGCCAATAGACTGACAAGAAGTATAATTATAATTCGAGCTATCCGTACACTACTAAAATTACGTTGACGTTCATTGAATGAACTGCCACAAAAACGATCTACTGATGCAAATACAATCAAATATACAGATATACATGGACATACATTTAAAAAATAGCTAATCAATTTGCAAGCAGTCCTGGAATGTCCAGCCAGACTAATTTGATATCCATCAGATAATAAATTAAACATGAGCAAAACAGTTGAATAGAAAAAATTATTGATACTTAATACAAGAAAATAGAGAGAACATGCATGACCATTGAAAGAAGGTTTAGTTAGTATGAAAATATTTAATCCATTACCCAATGCACCCAGAACAATGATAATTGGAAGAATAATTTGTGTTAATTCTATTTGAATTGTGATTAGAGAATCAGCCATCTTTACTTTGTCGACAATAGTGATGTGTTCGACAAATTGTTTCTTACGCTTCAATATGCTCGAGATTGTTTTTTTTCTTTTTAATCAGAATACAAACAGGAAAATCTTATAATTATTCAACATTAGAATCTTTGTATGTTATCATCTGTGATGAGAAAAAAAAAACATTTAGTCAGATTCAACAAACATGAAAGCAATAAGTTGATGACTTCAATGCGTCATATTATACAAAATGTTTTAATATGATGACAAACATGGATAGAACATTGAAATAGAAATAGAGAAGAGATATGATTTAGAAACAAGAATGAATCTCTATAAAGAGCATCTCATCAACAGAATATCCATTTATGTCTTCAACTTTCTTGAAGCATATATCAAATTTTCACTGAATATGAAAATAAACAAATAACTAATATAACAACATAATTATTTCTAGTTTATTATAAATTAGATACATTATTGCACAAAAAATTATTCCATGTTTTAATATAATTTGTTTGAGAATACAAGATGTCTGTTATTTTTTCGTATTTTTATTAATCATGTTTATATACAAAAGTTACAATTGAAAATTAAAAAAGAAGATAAACTTTTGTAATATATGATTGGTTCTTCAAAGCACTTTGGAATGTATATTTGAGGGTGTGAGTGTGAGGATTTGGGTAGATAGAAGATCTAGACCAACAGCCACAGGCACACCCAATTGATAAAATCAGATAGAATAAATATACGATATTGATCTTTATTTTCATTAAAGAATATAAACTTGAATAGATCTACATGATTCTTAGTCAAAATAAACTAAGGACTTCACTCTGTCAATATTTTTTTCAGTTCGTCGCACTTCTGGATGTGTCGGTGGCAAACTTTTATAACTAATATTCAATGATTTTTGATAATAATTCAATGCTTCTTGATAATTTTTATTATTTTCATACATAGAACCTAAATTATTGTATGTTAAAGCAATATCAGAATGATTTTCAGGTAATATAGCCAATCGTATCTGTAAGCATTTGTTGTAATATTCCAATGCTTCTTTCATTTTATTCATGCTTTCATAACAATCAGCAAAACGTTGTTAAGTTTCACATATATCAGAATGATTGGATGGCAACACTTCTCGTTGAATTTTTAATGCTTTATTTAAATTAGATATTGCCTGATTGTATGAACCCTGTTGATAATACGTAGGTGAAGTTAGCAAAAGATTCGAGTAAAAGTAGCAGGGATTCGCTCAGGAACATGTTTCAGATGTTCCAGCCGTGTTCCAAGTACAACTCTATGAGCTCTATGCAATGTTACAATCTGATTTTACGTAGCCTGTACTATGTATGCATAAATTTCATGTGATTGGTTCAGCTCTACAGGACAGACCTCCTTTTTTAAAATAATTCTGTATTTGTGTGGCTTAGTAGCGGATTTTAAACGTCGTGTTTGTGTTGGAAGTAAAACTGAAGCGATGCATCCGTTGTTATAGTTGGATGTCCCTCAGCGAAGAGGAGTGCTGGGAATATTGGATGTGTGGGCCGTATGCTAAATCGGTCTGCCAGTCGCTGGATATTAGTACAAGAGTGGTTCTGAAAGTTTTGTTATGATTGCTGTTTCCGGATTTAGTGTGAATGATGATCTGATGTATCTTTATTTTGGCAACTTATATTGGAGATGTGCTTTTGTTAAAGATTAGAGAAAAAAATGTCGTATCAATATCCTCGATTTTGTTGACTTTCGTAGATTAAGGAGAACGTTCAGCTACAGCGGACGAGGATACATGTAGGAGGCATCATTAGCTACTTCGCTTTCAAACAAACTTAGAGACATACCAGCGGCATAACTTCTATTAGAAACTACTTGAAGCAGTTGTTCCATATGTTTTTCTACTTTTCTGGGTTTCGGTTGTTCTTGGAACACGCTGGAACATCTGGAACATGTTCCTGAGGGAATCCCTGCTACTTTTACTATCTGGAATCTGGAAGTCCTATAGGAAAAAAACAGTTTTTTGGAATTTCTGGTCGGACAGTTTGAGCTATGGAAAATCGGATTGCTCGAATGGATAGAGCTCATAGAGTTGTACTTGGAACTCGGCTGGAACATCTGGAACATGTTCCTGAGCGAATCCCTGCTACTTTTACTCGAATCTTTTGCTAACTTTACCTACGTGTTGATAATATATAGTACTGATGGCACAATACAATTGACCTTTTTCTGCACAAATTAATGGCAAAATTTTATCGTAGGTAATCATTATATGTGATGATCGATCAAGTGCTGTTTTACAATTACCTTTTAAACATAAAGCTTTAGCTTCAATTTCATATGCTTTGGCAGTATTCATTTGAGATTCGTGCATAATTCGGTTGGAATACTTCAATGCTTGATCATATTCTCCCATCTGAATAAGAATTTCAGCAAGTGTTCCGAGATCTGTTTCTTGTCCAATCTTTTCTTTCATATATACAAGAGTTTCTTTTAATTGATAATCATCATCACTGGCTAATGTTAGATGAGCAATCGAAATATTATCATCTGGATTTTCGTCAATACTATCAATGTGAAAGAGAGCACCAAGCATAATCAATACTTCTGATTCAGTTTTAAAATAACTGATTTCATTTATATCGGCATAAGCCTTTGTTTTTTCACGTGGATTAATGTTGATTTCGAAAAGTATTCGTTGCATATTTTGAGAAATGTTAGCATCCAATAAAAACTGAGTAGCTATTGGGAATTGTTGAGTTGTAGAGAAAAATGAATTCATCGAAATATATTTTCCTACACTTTCTTTCATCAATTCGATTTCATCTCTACTCATTGCTTGACCATGATAAACAACAAACGAATCACGTTTATATGTCATACGTAAAATGGATTTTTGTAGTTGTTCTAATTGTTTTGATATATCTGTAATAAAGAAATGAAGAATAAATAGCATATTAAAATCTTGAATTCGAAGAGTTTTATTTAAAATACGATAGATACAACATTCACGTGTTTACCAATAAATAGCTTTGTCTGGTTTGTATGATTCTTCAAATTCTTTAATGATGGAAAAATTCTTTTGGATTTTCTTTATAATTTTGTTTACAAATATCAATAAATTCTTGTTTAGAATTGACATTATGATGCATACGAATTAATACTTTAATGAAAATTTGAAACCACATAAACATAGCATTTCTTGAATCAAGAGCTCTTAAATCATCACTAATAACCTATATAGCTGATAATTGTTCAGTTAGAAGGCGATTTTTTTGATCAAGATCAATTTGTTTTAGTAAGTTTGCTCGTTCAACAAAAACACCTTGAACCTAAATCAATGAAAAAAAAAGAAAAGAAAAGAATATTAAAATGATATTCAAGAGTAAGATTTACTTTTGAATAAGTTTTTGTCCATCCTTCATGATCAGTTCCATTTAAACAATATACGTAACATGCAACCAATTGTGGTAAGTTGTGAAGACGCGGAATAACATCAGGACCCAATTGACCGGACACAATAAGAACGATTTTTTCTTGTTTCGTGGCTTGGATTAGTTTCTCACATGCATCCGCTTGATCAAATATCCGTAGATGATTGATGATTTGACGTAATTCTTGTTCCATTTCACGATTATCTTCTGTATTCTTAACATTCGCGTCAAGCGAGAGACAAGCAAACGCTTCCAAATTAGTTATTTGGGTAGACACGAATGGTTTGTTCTTGGATTTTACTGTTTTAATTGGTTTCTTTTTGTGTGACATAAAATTATTATTAATAATCGATAAAGAAATAAATTTCGTGGATGTTACAATGACTTGTATAAAAGTGAAATATGATGTGTTTTTATTCTACTATTAGTCTACGATCAACATGAAAGTAAACTGAAGTTGGAAATTTTTTTCCGTTGGCATTGAAAAAAAAGAAGGTCTCTACACTTTATTGTACATAGATGAAAATAAATGTTAGAATATTTGCTTTTAATGACATTGAGACTGGTTTTTTTAAAAACTACATACAAATAGTTTGCTTGCTAGACTTTTGAAGTACATGACCATTTTTTTTACAATCGACAACAAAAGAGTTATTGAAGCTAAAATTGATCATTTTTATGAAGAAACAAAAAAACATAATGTCGTCACAAAGAAAACCATGACGCTTATTTACTAAAAGTATCTCAAATAATAGAGTTTCAATTAATATTTAATAAATTAGAATATGAAAAACCTAGTTGTTACTTACAACATCAATTCGAATTCGATGAGAAAAAACGGCACAAACATTGATAAATGTTATCGAAGAAGTTCGAGTCAAATTATTTTATTATATTCAAATATATTATCTCATTTACTTCAATAGAAATCATCAATTTTTGTTAATACAACCCGAAGATTTTTGATAAGATTGTACATCGAGAATGTGAGTTTGAGTCTTTTGTTTACCTGCACAACTACCACATTCATTCATGTTCACATTCAGATGTACATTCTTTCGAATGCGCAGATTCAGAGGTTTTCTAAAATTATTTAATCAATGAAAATCATATCTCGAAACACCATATCCATATTCTTCGATTACCTTCAACTACTTTTTACTGGGTTCAGTTGAAAAAAAATGAAAATGCAGTGGAGTAGAACTTTACAAACTAGAAGTAACTTTAGGTAAGTTGTTTAATTCGTCCTGATAAGGATAAATTCTGTCAAAACAAATAACATAATGAATAAATTATGTTTTTGTCTTTTGTTATGGAAGAATAATTTCAAAATAAATTATCTATATCTAGTGTTTCTTTCTCTACCTTTCTTTTTTGCAGGACGCCTGTGAACGAAGAGAAAAAAAATCTTGTGATCAGCAATTTTTTCGAGTTGTAAAAATGAATTAACGATGAAATTAATTAGAATAAAATCAAGTTAATTAGTATGTATATCTGCACATGTTGAAACGTAAGAAGACAAAAAATATAAAGTTCTGAAGCATATCAAACAAGAACATGATCGAACAAAAGATTACATGATAGTGAACAACCAGAAAAAATCAAAATATTTCGATCAGACTAAGCAAAACTACTAAATAGTTCATGTTGAATAGTCACTATAAATACCCTATTTGAATTTTTCTGATGTGATGATACAACGTTAATTATCCGACTAAAAAGATAAAGAGAAAAACAACATTCTTCTTCTATCTCAAAACCAAAACTAACGCTGCATATTCATCGAACATTTCCCATCATGAGAAAATATTCCCAAGACGCTTCAGAAGTATTTCCTAAATTGGATTTTTTTCTCCAATCTTGATCAACAGAAAAATTTCGACAGTAAATTTTTTAGTAGAAAACTAAGAAAAGAGTTTCTTGTTCACGTTTCTAGACAAAAAAATAGTATCAGATGATTGAGACATCTCATGATAATCTTGTTGATGAAAAAATTCATTACCACTTATAATGATTGGCTGTAAATTCGAATCAGTTATTATTCAAATCCTATAAACTCATAGATAGAGATATTGGTCCAATTATATCAGTCACATCAGCAGAAATGACAGAATAACAATATATTGACAATTGTAATCAAATGTAGAACTTAACTTTTGGTGTCTTATCTGGACCTAGAAATTTTCAAATGATAAAAAAAAACGAGTTCGATTTATGTCTATGAGACAGAACAACATACGACGGATATTTCATCATCTCCATTAATGAAGCATTCAGGCAATCGATCATTTATCCTCACCTTCATATCAACATAAATAAATGCAATTTTAGCGTCATCTTAAATAGTGATTTTATTGATGATTTTAAAATGCTCTAGATTCTTTTCATTGATATTCAAAGATATATTAATTGTTATGTAACAAGTGACTAAGCTAGATCAAGGTTCATCAAAACTCTATAACAAATGAGAAAATATATTAAACTTTCTCCGTCCACTTCATGTTACATGATAGATAAAGAAAATCAATTGATTCTTATATTTACCTCTCTGATCCAGAAAATTGGATAGACGAGTGGACGAATGTTAGAGACCAACCTGAAACAAGAATATACCTTCAATTAAATAGAAGTGAACTATGTCTATTGTTAAGGTCTCATCGATGAATCATTTACTACATTAACATTGTATTGCAAGCGACGGGATCCATTCATGATAACTAAATGTTCGAAAATAAATCAATATTTTCCGTTTTATTTAAACAATACTTACTGCCTGTTGTTGGTTCGATATCTGCAAAGCTTCGATGTATCGCATCATCAGGATGCATACCTTCAACAACATTCAATACAATTGGATTAGCGTCAAGAAAATGTGGATTAGATGCAATTATAGGCAATGGAAGGTCATGGATATTAACATTAACGAAATATATATAGTTATACTGATTCCTTACTTTTTAACAAAAACAAAGTCATTAACTCACGATGTCGACATGGAGTCTTTGTGAAAAGACCATCCGGCAAACAATGCAGTTCATGGTTGCTATTGAGAGAAGTATCATTCATGCAAAAACCTTGATTTTCAGTTGAATAAGAAAATAATGTATGTAGCAATGTATAACGATAGAGATCGATGCTAGCAGAATTGGTTGGTGTTTCGTTGAAGATCAAATAGATTGATCGGCAAATACCAGGAATAAACGCATAGATTCGTTCGTCTTTTGTCGCATTCGGATACCAGATAGTACTGTCTGTGCCATTGATCATATTTGCATATGGATCAGACCAAATGAATAAACTAGTCAAATAATTAAATCGCTCGATGGTACCGACTCGATTGATACGTTCTATGCCATCAATATCAACACCTGCGCCGTTATCGACCAAGAATGTATCATGAGCGATTGAATCCACCTGAAGAGAACGACATATAATGGCAAAACTTTCAAGAATACATTTTCGTTAGTAAAATTATAAAAAAACTGAAAGGTAATCCTCTACGTTTAATTTCGAAACAATAGATCTTAAGAAGCATTATAAAAGCTCTTACAATGGAGCCAAACAGTGCAAATTGATCATCCGGCACTAATGCAGGAAATTCCAATCTGAGTTGATGCAATAGAGGATCTTGATAACCCTATAGATATTCTCGAATCGAACGTGTCATCAGTGGTTCTTCTGTGGTTTCTAAAAACTGTTTTATAATGCGTTGAAAGGAATATGAAGTCTTTCCCATGTTTAGATAGTTTAATACTGTCTAAAAAGAAGAAGCAAACAGATCCATGCGGTTCTCTTCAGCATAGGGTGTGGATGTGGGTGTGGGTGTGGGTGTGGGTGTGGGTGTGGGTGTGGGTGTGGGTGTGGGTGTGGGTGTGGGTGTGGGGAGGTGTGGGTGGGGGTGGGTGCGGGTGTGGGTGGATGTGGGTATGAGGTGTTGGTGTGGGTGAGAATCTGGATCAAATCAACACCCACAGNAGGAAAAGCTCTGTAACTCTTGAACGAAACATGCTAGAAAGATCGGGTTTCTGTAGATCAAAAGAGAAGACTTTTCCTATTGACTTGTCACATAACAAGTGAATATTCAATGGAGAATCGCTTCAGAATGTCATTTTCAAAATCTACGCGAAGAACTCACCTGATTGATTAATAATTGACCAATCAAATTTCAACATGTTTTAATGGCCCCGGATGTTCTCTCTTGAATGGGGAAAACTGCAGGTCGCTACGACTTTTCGTTCAAAAGTTATAAGGTTTTTTTCGGCTGCCTTCTTTTAAAATTCCAATAGTAGTATTCTATACAATAATTTTATCATATTCAGAAACTGCACAAGAAGACTGAATCTATTGGCGTATGTTTCTGAAATATCTCTTGCCCTTTCATTTTTTGGGGAACAATTCAGTCATGTCTTCATCTAAAAATCTGAAAAAACCTAAAGTCAACGGAAAACGCTAAAGTATATCAGCTTGTACGATCGTAACGCGATGACGTTTTGGCCGCACTTCTTTTCATTTTTTTCAAGAATAGCACCAACTAGACCATTTATTTTTTTTATTAAAATTTATATCTCCATCAACCCCATACCCTCTAAAAATATCAGCTTCCTTGGGTGAATGGTTTGAGGATAAATGTGAAAACAAATGACGCAACGCAATGACGAAAAAGGTACCCAAGACGTGAGGGTGGTCTGTTTGCTTTTTACTTTTCTGCGAATGTGTACCTAACATATGAAAACGGTCAACAGTAAGTTTGTAGCCAACAACTTAATGTATCTACCGGATGATAAAACATTTCGAATATTCCTCTACTTTTCAAGTCGCCTCACTTAAACTAACGTAACGCGATGACGCTTGATTTTTAAGAGAGTTTGCATCTGTATTTTCTTTTACTCAGTATATAATCTTATAAAAGCAACACAATGAATTTTCGATATCTGCAACAAAAAGATCTTTAACATCTTGTTGTGTACTCAAAAAGTGAGTACACTCTAGAATCGGTCAGTGTGTCCGGCCGGCCTGCCAGCCGTTAACACGATAACTTTTGAAAGCCTCATCCAATTGTCATGAAATTTTGTACACAGAATGATCTCATCAATATCTCGGTCGAGTTCGAAGATGAGAAGGATCCGTCGAGAAATGGCTGAGTTATCGAAAAAATTGTCATTATTGACCAGACTATCCCTGAGAGGGGGTACA